CAGACAGACCCAGGGGGGTGGCTGCATGCATCTCTCCTCTGTGGGCCGCGGTGGGGTGGTTCTCGGGCCCCAGATGGCCCACGGGCTGGGACTTTGAGACCCCTGACTTAGAGAGAGATTAATGAGTTTGCTCTACAGCCTTAGCTAAAAGCCTACTGACTGTTAGCTAAGGCTGTAGAGCGGACTCATAATATCTCTCTAAGTCAGGGGTCTCGGTGCCACTAGATGGTACAGAACACCACACCCAGATGATGTGTGGGTTACATACTTCCCCTAGCTGAGGAAGCGTGTCCCGAGCTTCAGAGACTTCCCAGGTGAAATCCTGGACGAGCCCCCACTTGTAATGCTGACAGACCCCGGTCGGCAGCGGGCGGGATCAAACCTGGGACTTCTGTGCATGAGCCTCTACCACATGAGCTAAAAGCCTACTGACTGTTAGCTAAGGCTGTAGAGCGGACTCATTTTCTCTCTCTCTCTAAGTGGTCTCAGTGCCACTAGATGGGACAGAACACCACACCCAGAAGGTGTGTGGGTTACATGTGCACAAGTGACTTTGGAAGTCCAAACCTTGTATTAGTTATTTTAGTATAAGACTATGTCTGCACTGCACAGCTTCTGAAAGGTATGCAATGTAGCCGCTCTTTGTTGGCAGGAGAGATCTCCCAATGAGGTGCGGTAGCTTTGTTGGTGGGAGCGCATCTACTGCCGACACAGCGCTATCCACACCAGTGCTTTTCGTTGGTAAAACTTTTGTTAGTCATGGGGGGTGTTTTTTCACACCCTCAAGTGACAAAAGCTTTAGCAACAAAAGTGCAGTGTAGACATAGCTGAAGAGTAAAAGTCATGCAATAAAATTTCTGTTTATAGGTGGGCAGTGTTTAAAGGTGGTAAAGAGCACTAATTAATATTTGTTGGCAATATGACCCAACTTTAAATACAGCTCATGAGTATACATTTTTGAGAACAAGTCAGTTAGAAAGTGGTGCCAGACATTAAAATGATCTTGCCATGGTCAGTTTGTAATATATTTTTTTAAATTCTAAAATACATTGCTGTACACCAGTAACCACAGCTGTGTTAAGAGAGTCCATTCAGGAAATCATCTTCTTGCCATTCAGAACTACTTACATAATGAATCTCAATGGTAATGAATTGTTCATGAATCTGAAGCATCTGTCATAGAAATTATAGCTCTGTAAGACTAAATGAATCATCTTGTCCATCTCCCTGTAATTGCAGATTTCTGTTTAAACATATATACTCTGTTGTTTAATTTGGCTTCAAATGACTTGAGCAATGAAGCTTCCACTACTTACCTGGGAACCTTTTCTTGCAGCATTATATACCCCATTCTAAGGGTATTTTTTCCTGGTATCTGCATAATTTTATTAATTTTGTCCTCTTATTTCTACTTCTACTTCATTGGACTACCCTTGATGCCTGGTCTCTGTTGTTTGTATTGCACATCTACTGAGACACTATTATAGCCCCTCTTAATTGTTTGGCCAAGATGTACATACAGAGGAGTATTTATCAATTACAGCAATCCCCTCATCCTTTTGGTTGGTTTCTTTTTAAGTGCCCTGCAAGATAGGACACTTTCTTGTATTCCTTTTTTTAGTCTATTATTCACTGCAGTCATTCTTTATGAATTGCAGGTTGCTTTTTATTCTTTAAAAAGTACATTTGTCATGCAAATACATTTTCTTGGGATGGAAAGGGAACTGCACATTTTGATTAATAGTTTTTGTACTTTGTGTGTGTTGCGTGCAGAAGTGGAACCAGGAAGGTTCAATTTTATCAAAATTTGAACTCTTCTGTGCTTGCCCTTATTTTTCTAAATCTGCTGTTAATTCATCTAAAATAATTATGGTTATTAAGAGACTTTTTCTGATTTTTATCTATTTTGGGGAGGTTGGGCATATTTTCAGTAGAAATAGAAAATTGACTATTTGCTCCTGTATTCCATACATAAAGTCACAGTCCTATTTGTGACACCATTGTTGGTTGCAGTGGAGATGGCTGTAATGTTCCCCTTCACAGCTGATTTCAGGCAAGGGAAGAAGCAGCTGAAGCAGAGAATCTTTTAAGTTATCAAGTTTCTGTTTTCATGAAAACTGCCATGGTAATTTTTTTTAAAGGAAGGAAAAAACAGACTGTGACACACAGGCAGAGTTGTTTCCAAATACAGTGTTCTCCAAAGGTTTCCATGAAGCATCGGTATCATTTTAAAGAAACAAATACATCTTCAGGTGGTAAGAGGAAAGGGATGTTTGTTATTGAAGTATGGAAGTAGGTTGTATTTAGCCACATATGTGTAATAGCTAATATACAAACCCGTTAGTAATTGTTAAAAATATATTGTATTATTCCCTTGATTACAGTAGTTTTGAGTTTTATCTTTAGCTTGAAGATTGGTATCCCTTTACATGCTTTACTAGATAGTTTACACTTCATATTTTAATGTTACTACTTCAACCAAAAAAAAAATGAACCAATAAGACAGTAAAATATTGGAAGAGAGATAGCAACCCTAGTAGTAAGAATACCTCACACTTTCTATTATAACGTCTTGCTGCTTGTAACTTTAAGAAACTTTAACTATCCAGACTGAAACTTTTCATGCTTTGTCTTTGCCTCATATTGACGTTATTTGAAAAGTTTCAGTAAAAGTGTATGAACTTGCTTCAAAGAAGGGAGCCAAATAGAGTTGGCCATGTCTGTACAAGCAGCAGGATAGGCTAGCTACCCCAAGGATGTACACATCCGAGCCTCAGGGCATGTACTTGGAGCCGATACTTGGAGCCCCTCATGTTGCTGTAGCTACACTCTATTTTTAGTGCGCTAGCTTGATGAGAGCTGGCGTGAGTATATTTCCTTGACCTAGGAATTACCACCAGCTCCAAACGTAGACATATCCAACATTACTTTTTTTTCTGTCTTGCTCACTTAGACTGTAAGCTCTTTGAGGCAGAGGAAATGAGTATCTGTTTGTCCAGCACCAAGAATGATGAGGCGTTTAGGCACTATTGGAATACAAATAAAAATGATTGTATTTCTCATTCTCTTTTTTCCCTACTGTGCCCTCTCTGAGCCCCCATCATCTTTTTTATCTGTCACTGAGTTCTTGAGTCAAATGTAGAGCTAGATAAAGTTCCTTGGACAAGGTATCTCTTTCCTTTGTTCTGCAAAACCTATGGTATGCTTCTCAGGTGCTGTATACATATTATGTTTGTTACTCCGGAGGAAGCAAAATGGTATTCAATAATTTTTTTTTAAATGGGATTAATAAAATCCCATGATCCATGAAAATTCCTTCCCAACTCAGAATTAGGTAGTTTTGGTGGATTAGGAGGATGTTCAGTGTGGTGAGAGCAGAGAAAACAAAATGTAGATATATTAGGTACAATACTATATAAAATTTTCAAGTTAAACTTTCTCTATAGATAGACCTCAATGAGGGAGTACATTTCTGTATTGAAATTATGTTCTGCTGTGATATTAAGGAAACATAAGGTTGAAAAATATAAATGGACAAAATTCGGGAAATGAAAATGTTCTGATTAATATGCAACTTTAACTGTGTCCATTGTGCTTATGAATGGTGACAGTCTTTAACTACATAGTTGCATATTATGTCTATAATGTAACTGTACAATATATGCACAAAGTATAATTATTATTAAAGTTGGAGGATAATTAGTTTGAGACACAAAATTTCTCCCATTTGAAGGGTATAGAATTAAAGAGCATAATCACTTTTCATGTTCCATGGCTCCCATGAGAATCTTTGCAACTTTACCTGAAGAACATTACCACTGTATTCTTTATATTTTGCAATGTCAGGTACTTGGAAAAAGCAATTATAAAGTTTCAATGGTGATCATTATTTGTTTATAGTGTGATTTAGGCCTTAATATAATTTAGTGTTTCACATGGGGCTGGAATTATAACCCTGTTGTCCCCTTTTGTACCATTTGATGGACTTCATATATCACTTGTAGTACATTATGGGATTTGGTGAGCTATTTTGATTTGTTTGTGTAAGAAATATCCAATTATATGGAGTTGTGTACCCATTTCCTTTTTTGGCTTTACAGATACATCCTACGTGATTAATATCCTTGCCATCTCTCATCTTCTGCTCTGTTTTTGGCTTTTCCCTTGTGTTTGCTCACTACAGCCTGCTGGCAGCTTACTGGGAGAGGAGCCCTCTGTCAGTGCTCCTTGACAGATTGAAAGGAGGTTGCATGTTCCAGAAATTTTACCTTTTAGTACTTCTCCTTAAAGGTTATGGAGTTTTTTCTCTGAGAAGATTTTGTCCAATTACCAATGATCAGTAATCTTAACATAAACAAGTTTCTGGAAAGACAAAAAATGGATTTAAAATACTGTCTTAATGTATCTCAATTTACACTGCTTATAAACTTAAACTAGATAAGGTATCTCGGCTTGTTTACAGAGAGAGAGAGTGGATAAAAAAGAAAACTAAACGCATAACATCCCTTGAAACTAATCCCTTTCTCTGACCACTCTGCTTCTCTTTCTGTGTCCCCCCTTAACACGCTTATTAAATCCTTCCTCTAGTTGTCCCAGTTTTCTGAAGTCAAAGAGTTATAATAGAAGTTCATAAAACAGTTTTGCTCTCCACTCTCTAGAAGATGGCACTAAGGAAGAGAAAACAATGATTTAATGCCACTTTGAAGGGCCTTTAACAACCTATCTTGGGTACCATCTTTCAAAAACCTCTTTGACAGGATGTAGCATACCCAAATGTTTGTGGGGGTTTTTTGTTTTGTTTTCAATTACCTGTGACTTATGGACAAAGGCCCAAACCCTCTGTTGCACACACATCATAAAACATTTTTTATTCATAACATTGTTTTCTAAAAGATGTTTTTAGCTTTTTGCAAATTTGAGAAGCATGCTTTATATATAAAGATTGTATTGATTGAACTGAAATTATTTTGTGTATACTCAAAATAATTCTTGTTTTACAGCATAGATTTCCAAAAGAACAACCCAATACACAAGCTAACTGAAGAGGAGCTTTTAGCATTTACGTCGGTAAGTAACTTATCTCTGTTTTTTACTATATTTATATCTTCCTTCGACTTCTTTAAGCGAAGTACTAAGCTCTGACCCATCAACTATTTTGGTGAAATTGTTTAGGGATAAAATCTAATCTGGTTTTGGTCTGTTGCTTCCATAATTATGAAAAAGCGCGTTCTGTCTCTCTGTCTCTCTCTCTCAAATCAATGCTGAAATTCAGCCTTGTTTGCTTCACCAGCTCTGCACTATAAAGTTTACATTTAAAAAACCCCAAATACTATTTTCATTTCAATGTCTTTTACAAACATTTAATGAGAGAATTTCTGACTATTTTAGATTCTGATTCCCTATTGGGAGTTGAAATGTAATGGTACAGGTCAGGCCCTTACAACAAATTCTTCACACTGATTTAGTGCTGAAAGTACTTCCCTACCTTGTGAGCATCTAATTCTCAAGAGTCTTTTGTAAATTAAATAGAATAGTGCAGTCAGAAACAGTATTCTGATCCTTGCAAAGCCTTAAACACAGGAGCATACATATTCTTTTTTGGGAGTTAACTGAACTGAAGTCATGGAAAGCTAAATGTGTATTGTTTACACATTTCTTTAGCATGGTTTCTATCTGTTATATTTGACTTATTCTGAAAGTGAAGGATTTTGTAGTGTGCTTTAGAGTGGCCCACTAAATGCAGGTTTTAGCATTAATACTCTATGAACTTGTTCTGTGTTCCATTGTCAAGGTTCATCAACATTTCTAAGTCTGTCATGAAAAGAAATTTGTGGTGGGTGGGGAGACTTTATTGAAATATTCAGAATTATAATAGTATTGTGAAAATTTATTAATCAATAGTTATCCAATAGTTGTCCAATAGTTCAAGAATAAGTGCGTCAGTGAGTGGCCTAAATGCCTGTTAATTGAAGCTTTGTTGTTGGAGAAAGAGAGAAAAAAAATCAGAGGAGGATGATATGGAACTTGCTAACCAATGTGGGAGTGTTAACAGATCAACATTTTAGGGTGTCTGAATCGGGAGTGGCAGAAGCTGACCGGTCTGTAGTTCCCCGGATTCTCCTTCTTCCCTTTTTTAAAGATGGGTACTATATTTGCCTTTTTCCAGTTGTCCTGGACCTCCCCCGATTGCTACAAGTTTTCAAAGATAATTGCCAATGACTCTGCAATCACATCAGCCAACTCCCTCAGCACCCTCGGATGCATTAATTCCAGACCCATGGACTTGTGCATGATCAGCTTTTCTAAATAGTCCGTAACCAGTTCTTTCACCACTGAGGACTGCTCACCTCCTGTGCTGCCCAGTGCAGCCGTCGAGAGCTGACCTTATCTGTGAAGACCGAGGCAAAAAAAGCATTGAGTACTTCAGCTTTTTGCACATCATCTGTCACTAGGTTGCCTCCCCCATTCAGTAAGGGTCACACATTTTCCCTGACCACCTTCTTATTGCTAACATACCTGTAGAAACGCTTCTTGTTACCCTTCATATCCCTTGCTAGCTGCAACTCCAGTTATGCTTTGACCTTCCTGATTACACCCCTGCATGCTCAAACAATATTTTTATACTTCTCCCTAGTCATCTGTCCAAGTTTCCACTTCTTGTAAGCTTCCTTTTTGTGTTTAATCTCACCGAAGATTTCTCTGTTAAGCCAAGCTGGTCGCCTGCCATATTTACTATCCTTTCTGCACATCGGGATGGTTTGTTCCTATACCCTCAATAAGTCTTCTTTAAAATACAGCTAGCTCTCCTGGACTCCTTTCCTCCTCATATTAGCCTTCCAGGGGATCCTGCCCGATAGTTCCCTGAGGGAGTCAAAGTCTGCTTTTCTGAAGTCCAGCGTCCGTATTCTACTGCTGTCCTTTCTTCCTTTTGTCAGGATCCTGAAATCAACCATCTCATGGTCACTGCTGCCCAGGTTGCCACACACGTCTACTTCCCCTACCAATTCTTCCCTGCTTGTGAGCAGCAGGTCAAGAGGAGCGTGGCCTATAATTGGTTCCTCCAGCACTTGCATCAGGAAGTTGTCCCCAACGCTCTCCAAAAACTTCATGGATTGTCTGTGCACTGCTGTATTGCTCTCCCAGCAGATGTCAGGGTGATTGAAGTCCTCCATGAGAACCAGGGCCTGTGATCTGGAAACTTCTGTTAGTTGACCAAAGAAAGCCTCGTCTACCTCATCCTCCTGGTCTGGTGGTCTATAGCAGATGTCCACCATGACATCACCCTTGTTGATCTCGCCTCTAAACTTAAGCCTATTCAGAGTCTTTGGGTTTTCTCCATTTTCATACTGGAGCCCTGAGCAATCACACTGCTCTCTTACATACAGTGCAACTCCTGCACCTTTTCTCCCTTTTCTCAGCATGACCACTGTCACTTGAACTAAACTAACTTCACTGTAGATAACTCAAGTTAATTCTGCAATGAAGGTTAATCTTATTAGAAGGTAAAAGGACACTGCTAGAAAATAGGTTGGAGGAAACTGACATCCCTGTGAATCAAGAGTTATTCAGGAACACAGCCATAAAGGTGATGGTGATGTCTAGTTACATCTTCTTTTCTCGTCTGATCGGAGCATCTTGCAAGATCAGGGTGGGAAAAGAATTTCTGGGACCCTCCCATCTCACCAGGTCGCAGAGCTCCAGCTCTAGCCCAAATGTCTATAATGCAATTTTTATAGCCCTGCAGCCTGAGCCTGAGTCAGCTAATACAGGCCAGTCCCAGTTGTTTTATTGAGGTGTAGACATACCCTGAGTTACTGTAAAGGAGTGTGGTGAGGGTCACGACTACTCTCTGGTCACCCCAGACTCGCTCTTTGGGTTGTCTTCCTCCTAGTATATCTTTAGAGTCTACCACTGTGGTGCTCATATCTGTCCTCCACAGCAGCATGATATTGACATTCTTGATACTGTAGTTTCATTGCAGCCCAAAGATTCTAGATAGCAGCCATGAAACTGACCAGAATCTTTTAAAATTCCCTCAGTCATGAACAGAGGAGAGGAGATGGAGCTGTCTGCAGACTCAAGAAGACAATTCTGCATTGTTCTGTTCATGTACAGTATGGTTGCAAAGAAAATCTTAAGGCTAATATTTCTAAGTTTAAACATATTTTTCTCTAAATTCATTAATTCTCTTTTCTATTTGATTGTGTGTTTTAATATTCTCCCTCCGCTCCTGTATTTTTTGTTCCTATTTAACGTTTCTTCAAATATTTTTATTCCTTCATTCTGGAATTACCTTGTAAAGCCTCATTCTCTCTTCTCTTCCCTCATACCGTAACTCTTTCTCCATTCCCCTTATTTCACCATTCACCTTTCTCCTTACCACCTCTTTTTCAAACTCCCCCCCTCTTTAAAAGTATTAATTCAAACCCAAACAACAGCTGTCAGTGTGTAAACTAAAAAATACTTGTATATCACTGGGCTTAATTTATCTATCACAGCAATGCTAATTTTAAATCATCTGCTAGTACAAGTCTGAAAAGCTTACGTAAACAAATGTGAGTAATTTATATAGTGATTCACTCAGCTTCCTGAACCATTTGCTTACAAGCACCTATACATATTATGTTGTCATGGAGCTTGGCAAGCCAAGGAGAAAAATTATTTCCAGTGCTGCTGACTTGATGTATGACCTTGAAAGCAAGTCATTCTGCTTGGTTAGCCATCTGTAAAAGTCTTTCAGTGAAGATACAAAATTTACTTGAATGTTTGTAAAATGCTTTAAGATTCTCAAGGAAAGCATTAAAGAAGTGCAAAAGATTAAAACAGACTCGACGTTAATACAATACTGACATCCACCACCGCTTCAAGGCTGGCCAACTGATGTTAAATTTATATCTGTTGCAGAAATATTACTATTGTATTTCATAGGTCTGATTTCTTGTTTCTAGTATAAAGATTGGAAAGGGTTCAGTGTAGTTAATCTTTGTCCTTAATCATTACTTAACTGTAAATTTACAGGGCAAAATCCTGGCCCTATTAAAGTCAATGGGAGTTTTGTCACAGTCTTCAGTGAGGTCAGGATTTTATCTTCAGTACTTAATCCTAATCTATTTCCTCAGGTGGCAGGTATCTTTCTAGAACAACACACTATGATTGCAGTGCTGAGGAACAAAAAATATCTGCAATTTGTAATCTGCCATGGATTTTTTAAGATACTCACACAGTCTTACTCTCGAAATTATAGATATTCCAGAAATGTAGCCTGAACCATTAGGTTTAACCATCTGATGGTTAAATCTTGCTGACTTGCATTTTTGGAATATTTTTCATATTAAGATCTGATCACCAGCTGGATACCTGTATTAAGAGAGAGATTTGATACCTCAAACCTAGACCCTTTTCAAGTGCTGCAACCCAGAGCCCTGTGTCCCATCACACAGGTACAAATAGAGCTATAAACGGGGAATAATTTGATAACTTTAGCCCTTTTATTGGTTTATGAATTATCCAAGAGCAGACTGATCTTTGCTAGCTTATTCTTCAGAATTGTTCAAACATCATATGCAAACTTCTCAACCTCTGCACTGTTTGCAAACGATTCACCTACATTTTAACTGGATTGCCCTCACATGTAAGATATGTACTTATAAATGACCAAAGTTTGGACTTACACCTACCTTTTTAACTTTCTCTTCAAGAATATAAATACTTCTGCTCAGGAGTTAAAACAGGACACATTACACCGACATAGCATGTGGGCTATGCAGTAAAAGTAAACTGTCTTATGATCGCTCATGTGATATTGCTTAGGAAATCATACTAACTGATATTTGTGAAGTGGCAGAGGCCCATCTTTTGGGTGAATTCTTCATAGAAAAAAAATAGAATAGCATTATCATGCCATCTAGTGGCCAACTATTAGAAAATCATGGTGGTTTTTACTTGTACTCCCTTCTCAGTATTAGTGTCCCTACCCTCTGTTTGTCAGAGGGTGGAGATGGCTGGCTGGAGAGAGATCACTTGATCATTACCTGTTAGGTTCACTCTCTCTGGGGCACCTGGCATTG